GTGCACAATTCCAAAAGAAAGTTGAAGCAGTTATGCCATCACAAGCCGCTTATTTTGGTCTAAACTATCAACTTATAGTTTTGGTTCTTTGTCACAACTACACTCACAAATTCTTGGTTGTGGTTAAATTTAAGACATGATTTAATTCTTTGTAAATATCTACTTGATTTTTTTGTAGACACTTAATGAATACTTATTATGGTTTGAATTTACTTGATTTTTTTTTTGTAATGCTTAAATAGCTTTGAATGGCTTTGATTGTTAGAACTTGAACGGCTTATAATTCTTAGAACTTGAATAACTCTCATTATTAATTTATTGTATTTTGATTATCCAAATTTTTATTATTATATTATTTTAGCAAGAAAGGAATTTTGTTAGGGATTGTGCCAAGCTAAAATTAATTAGGTAATTTTAATAAGAATTGTGCTTGCATAGTTTGCATGCTAGATAGGGGAAAAATAAGAAGTATAGTAAGGGAATGACCCTAACTACTTTTTTAACTTGCAATTTAGTCAAGAAAAACCCCTAACAAAATTCCGTAAATAAAATAAGAGTAGCTAAATTTCAACTAAGATGGTTCTCATACATAGCTAAATTTAACTAGGGAGCCATAGCTCATTTTAACTAGGGCCATGTAATAGCCTAATTTTTAGACTTTAATTGATTTCAGACTAAACTGTGACAATTAAAAGTTTCGGGGGGTTATTTCGGAATTAGGGGAATTAAGTGAAAAAGAAAGAAAAAAAAAAGGGGGGGGGGAGAAATTTTTTTGGCCGAGAACCGGCTGAATAATCTAGAAACAAATTCGCTCCAATAGGAGCTTAACAACTCGAAATTGCTTTTGACTCTTGATAAATGAGGGCCAGACGAGTTTGAGTAGACAAACAATTGAGAGAATCGTTGAGAGAGGAGGATGAATTTCGATCTGGAATGGCCGCGGGTTCCGTGAAGCTTCAACAAGAAAAACTTCAAATTTTCTCCAATTTTGATCCGATTAATTATGTTTAAGTGGCTTGTGGGCTTCGGAATTCCTTCCTTGTCACTTCCGAATCACCTAGGTGAGTTGAATTTGTGAAATTCATGGAGTTTTTTTTTTTTTTTTTTTTTTTCTGAATTTGGGTCTGTACAGGGAGTCAAGTTCTGGGTGTGGGGGGGGGTACGGGAGAGGAAGAAAGGGACCCGGAAGGGTCCGAGTCCCTGGCCGAGGCTCAGCCCGGCCTACTGGGGCCGGGGCTTAGCCCGGTCGAGCTAGGCGGCCCGTGGGCTGAGCCGCGAGCCAGCCCAGGGTGGCTGTTACGGTCCGGGTCTGTTATAGACCCGGACGCTGGCCGGGTGGCAAGGAAGGGACCCCGCTAGATCCAGGTCCCTGTGCTGGGCCGACCCGGCCTGCTGGGCCTGAGCTCGGCCCAGATTCACTTTAGGCCCGCGGGCTGAGCCGCGGGCTAGCCCGGGTGAGGACTGAGCCGAGTCGACCCGCTGGGTTGACTCGGCCATGTGAATAAAGAGTACGGGTCGACTCAGCCGAGTTAACCCAGAAAGGGAGATTGGAATAAGCTATTCCAGGGGAATAGGAAATTAAGGATAGGGCCAAATTGAGGATAACAGGGGATAGTATAGCCCAGGATTTTGGAATAAGGGCTTGGAGTTGACTGAACCGGCCAGAAACGGTCTAAGGTTTGACCGGCCGGTTCAGTGGTCAAATGGACTCGAATTCGGAAAGATGAACCAGTTCTGGATTCAGGGAGAAAATACCTATCAAACCAAGTGGGTTCGGGAAATTTTGGGTGACCGGTTCGAGGTGAACCGGCCGGTTTAGTGTAATTCCTTCGGGTGACCGGTTCACCGATTTTTGGGCTAGTTATTGGGGAAGTTGGACCAGTTCCTGGTTCAACATGATAAAACCTAGTTGACCCTAGAAATTGGTGATGTTTGGAGGTCTGGTTCAAGGTGAACTGCCTCAGTTTGTGTGCCAATGTCTTGGATTAGGGTTTTTGGTCCGGTTTGGCCTAACCTTAAAAGTTTTTGGCCAAGTTAATATGGTTCCTAAGGTTTTCGGGCCTTCTGGATCCATTTTTGAGGGTCTTGTGGCCAATCGAGTTGAGTTCGAGGTAGTTGTGGGATCAGGTTAGGCCAGTTCGGGAGTTTCGAAGACCGGTTCACTTTGGGTTGGGGGTTATGGAGATTGGTTCTTTACGGTTAAGGGTTGTTGAACCGAAGTATGAGTATTAGTGAGTCGCGTAGGGCCCGGTGGTGGGTAGTGGTGCCTCGAGAAGTGTGTCAGGTGCGGGAATGGGATTTAAATCTTGTCTTGGGCTGCCGAGCCCGTTGGGTACTGGCGATGGAATTGGTAATGGTTTTATGTGGCTTGATTTTCAGATTCACCTGTGGGGGAGTATTCGGATCATAGAGTTGATTGACGTGACTTGAGGCTTTTGTTAGACTTAGCCTACGATGAGTGATGATACCCTCTCTATACCTGTGTTGCATATTTATTTTCTGGCATGGTGTCTGCATGGATTTGCTAGACTGTGTTTGATATATGCATCTTGGGATGCGTGCTTTTGTGCTTTGTGAATTGTTAGTAGACCATGTTAATATGTACCTGGTTTAACTTGCGTGTGATGATGGTATGGTATGATGTGATGTGGGGACGCCAAGAACTCGGCTAGAGTATAAATCTGTAGCATCTAGTGGTGAGTCGGCCTGGGTCGTGTGTGATTTGGCAATGCCAGCAACTCGGCTGGAGTACGGTGGTCCGTAGCGTCCAGTGGTGAGTCGGCCTGGGTCGTGTGTGATTTGGCGATGCCAGGAACTCGGTTGGAGTACGGTGATCCGTAGCATCTAGTGGGAAGTAGACCTGGGTCCAGTGTGGTAATGTGACTTGATGTGATGTGATGTGATGAGAGGTGATATGTGGTTAACGGTGTCTTTCAGAGTGTAGTTGATGTGTTATTAATTGCTGTATATGTTAGTATGGTTTGCATTGTGGCATGATGCATATTCTAACATGCATAGAGTAGGTATCATCCGTACTCACTGAGTTTCGTGACTCACTTATTATAACTTTCCAGATATAGGTTGTAGTTCTCGGGTAGCGTGCCAGGATTGAGACGAATGCCTGCCACTCCAGTTATTGTACGGGCGAGTTCATTGTTATTCGTTTTGTACTCTAGAGCTCCCCTTATCCCTCAGGCAGGATCCTAGTTTGTACATGATGGTTTTGAGATATGTATATAAATGTCTTGGTAAGTTGTGGTGTTTGTTTGTGACGGTAAGGCTGACTAGGGCCAGGGCCCTAGTGCCGGTTAGGGTGTAGGTCGGGCCCTGATAGGCCATCATTCCTAACTAGAGTCCAAACTAAAGTTAGTTACAGATAATAGCCATCCCTAGCTAAAATTAGAAAATATTTAGCCACTCATGTTCCATTTATAAAATTTTGCTATGAATGTTTCTCTAAATAAAGTCACTTTAACTAGAGATTTTTACAATTTAGATGGATATGTCTCTAACTAAAAAACAATTTTCTTGTAGCAAAGGAAGAATTGTAACATGTAGGATTTATTTGTAATAACAATTGTAACATGTAGGATTATTTGTAATAACAATTGTAACTTTTTAATTACTAATATTTTACATTCCAATTGCATCTATAAAGTTTATTTGTGTGATTTGCATGCTTTGACTATGTTTATACAGGTTTAATTATATAATCTATATAAAATATACATTTTTTATTTTTTTTTGTTAATAGTGATGGATTACTGACGAATCAGTGATAGATCAATGATAGAATGATTGGCAATATACCAGTAAATAATTAGAGATTAGCCACATATTAGTATGAGAATTATAGTGAGCACGTAGTAATGGAGTTGTTCAAATATTAGTAAGGGATTGGTGAGCACTTGCGGTGGGAATGAACGGCACAACGAACGAAATCACAAGGTTGTCACAGAAGAACTATTTTCTTTCATTGCATTTCAGTGTAAGTTGTCATCAAGAGTGAGTCCTTTGGCGTAACTTTCTCGTTGGGATAAATTCCACAACACAAGGGCAATGATTTATCAGTAACACCATGAAAGTCCGGGGGCGGATGGTGCAAACTCAGGTAAGAGAGATAGCATTCTAGGAATGCAAACGGAAGACTGGTATAGAGCCGCTTTCTGTTTGGGCGCCTAAAACCAAATGCCAAATTGGCAAGTTATGCAAAATCCTTGCATATGGATTCTTGTAGCTAGGGCATACTGTGTGATAGAGTATTACTTTTGGACTTGTAATTTACTCAAATCATAATCATTGAAAATATATGTTGCACATTTTTTGTGAGATAAATCATTAAAAATATTTGTTAAATATATTCATGTAATTGCTAATGGATGATTAGTGACTACACGACTGAAAGCTTAACTCAAAGTTAATTGTTGTTGAACACATATTCTGTGGGTTTAATATAATAAACATGCTATTGATAGTTATTTTGGAAATGAATTAAAGACAATGTTTTTAGTTGGAATCATTACATCTCTCTCTCTCATCCACACACAGACAAAATAGCCTTTCATTTGATAGGAAGAGATTTGATAAATACTGGTAACTCTTTGATAGAATATTAGAATGAAAATATTTATTAGATAAACAATGGCCTCAGATTTTTTTTTCCATGCAAAGAATAAGACAAACATAAATACCCTCTTTTTAACTTTTATTCTGATGGATTGACTACATAAATTATACATATATATATATATATATATAAGAAGAGAAAGTGAGAGAGAATGTGTTAATAATTGATTATATATTAAATAATATAATGATAGGAACCAGAGAACAAGAGAATGGGGCAGTTAGAAATAATCAAAAAAGTATTGCCCCGAGAGAGAGAGACAACATCATAGACGAAATACAACGACCTCTGGCGGAGAAAAAAACACTCTCGTGTATGACAGACATGAAAAGCACGGAGAGCATGGAGAACATAGATTTAATAAAAATAATCTCTATGTCTGCTTCTTGCTACCAGAAAGAATACGTTGAATTTGCAGGCCACGGCTGAAGGCTTGGTTGAAGAGGAGTCTGGCCTGGAATTCCGTGACGAAGGGGAACCAGGCCAGAATTGCCACCGGTGCGAATATCATCACTCCCATCATGTATTCGTATCCTCTCCCCAATGTTTTGACTGATCTCCACACTCTCATTGCCTTTAGCACTGGCCTGCATGCTTGGGCTATCTGTAGCAGTCCCCACCCTGTTGGCAAGAATGCTAGTAGGCTAGCAAATGCGTCTCCCAATGTCAAATTCATCGCTACAAACATTACTACTATTGCACCAACTGACCCAAGAAACAGCACCAGCTTCAGAAGTCTGAACATCCGTTGAAAATCTGCACCAAATTTCCTCCTACCCATCGACACAATCTTCAGAATCACTACCACTGCTACAATCACCAGCCAAGACAGAGCATACACCTGTACATACATACAGATACATGCTAATTAATTGATCAATACACTATAAAACAAATAAAGTTCAATTCAATTAATATCATGAAATTAATGATTTAACATCATCAATTAAATGCATGAGTCCACGTGTGCATGCAGCAAGAAAAAAAGAAAAAAGATGTTCTTTCCTTTTTACTTACAATGAAGCCAGTGTCGCCATTAGCCACATTCAAATGATATACTATTCCATATTGGAATATAAAAAAGCGGAGGGAAAGAAGAATTTCTGAAACTCTTCCAACAAAACCAGTGTACTGTAGGTGTTCTTGTTCCTCCTCCCACCATGTTTCCCAGCTCTTGGTTGCAGGTACACCAATACCACCAGGACTGCTCATCCATTTTGTCCAATCATCCCAATCTTCCACCATCTTCTGCCACTCAAATCCTGATGGATTGAATAAAAATGGACCAAACAACCAAGAAATCACTAGAAACCACATCGATGCATTCATCAGCATGTAAGCTACAGCATCAGCATCCACGGCACCATACACTCGATAAACTATAAGAAGCATCATTACCTCTACACCTTTTACAAAATGGCTCCTCGAGTACATCCTATAGTTCTCAGCAAATTTCTCATGTCGAACAACAAAGCCACGTCCAGTGGCTCTGTATTTGGCCCCACCATGAAGGATAGTGCGTCCAAAGTAATGGGCCTTTGTCCCAAGAGAGAAAGTGAAGAAGACATTTGCAAGCTGAAGCACCATTAGTATTACGTCACCTAATGCAATTAGGAACCCTCTTTCTAGACCCATTTCCATAACCATGGGTAGTGCCATCAGCAATCCTATCTGAACAAGGGATTGGGAAGTCAAGGCTGCTTTCAGAGAAGCATTTTTCTTCATTTTAGAATGTTTCAGGAATGCCATCTCCAATCCACTCAATGACATGTAGAGTCTGCCGTACAAGAATATATAAACTATAATGACAACCAACTGCATGGTAACAATAAAAGAGGGTTAGAATTCTAAGATGACTCAAAATAGAATAGAGCAAAACCAAAAATACAAAAATGCACTTGGTTCTGAATTTTTGTTTAGACCATTTTATGCAAAACATGGATTCATGTTCAGACTAATGTTCTTGTTAAGCTTAAGCTTAATTAATAGACATGCTCGGTACCAAAATTTAACCAGAAATAAGGGTGATGAATCCTCAATTGTGCTTATCCAGAGGTTCATCATTTCTGTATAGCTTGTAACTCGGTTAGCTCCTCACTGTGACATGTTCATAGGTTTGACCGCCGCAAATCACAAATCCTTTATACATGCAGGATGATGCTTTGATCCAGCTTACCACTCTCCAGAAATGATACATAATACTCTAAGTTTTTCAACCTTTTCTTTCAAAAAATGCATTATCGAATGAAAATGAGGATGAAAATATTATGAATATTCTAGCAACATACAGATTATAAGCAAGTTTGTGTAAAGAACAGAAAAAATTATTAGAAGTGCATTAATTTTGATGACAATCAATAATGAAAATTATAAAAATTCAAATGGAAGTTTATTGAATTAATTTTCCATTATTTTCTATTTCCTCCAAATAAATAAATATAATTAACATATTTTTTATATGCTTGATTGTCCTAAATGACTAATATCACCAGAAAAATAGGCTACTAGCCCACCAGTCAAACATTATGCAAGAGTTCCGTTACTCAATTCTGTTGCATCAATTAACTTTGATGCAGATATGAGATTCTCCCACAAGTAGCCTGCTCGCCACTAAAAGAATTGAACAGCCAAGAGATAATAGTTCTTCTTGCTTCAGCTAAGACATGTCAACTTCTTTCTTTACACACTCTCAATATTCTTGTTACTTACTGATTTTTATCTCAGTCAAATAACTATTCAAATCTTACTATAATGTTTCACAAATAATATTTATATATAAAAGTGAGAAACTCACCCCCCCCCCCCCCTCCAAAAAAAAAAAAAAAAAAGAAAGAAAGAAAGGAAAAAACTAGGATTTGAAATGCAGTTGCCATTGTATTTTATGCTTTAAGCTTGCAATGTGTGTAACAAGAGAATTACCATTGCACTGAAATAAGACCCAACAGTTGTAAAATAGAATGAAAGCATTCGGAAGAAGTCAAAACGATGGCCTAATCTGTAAACATCCCGACTTAGTGTTTGCTCCCCATTACCACATGCCACTTTTGCCTCAAAAAGTGAAATTTGGTTGAGGCCAACATCTCTTCCTTTTCCCACTTGTATGTACTCATGGTGTGTAATGTTCCCACGCCTCAACGTTGAATTGAAACCTGAATTGGAAATCTAATCAATGTGTAAAAAAAATTTAAACTTACACCCAAAGAATAAGAAGATCTACACAAATACCAGCAAAAATATCCTCGCTTAGATTGATCCCCTTAGATGCCTTGCTGATGCCACCACGGGTAATGTGAAAAATTCTATCAAACACATCTGGATGCCCATAATGGAATCGAACCCTAAATCCAATAAATTTTACAACCTAAATAAATTAATTAATTAAATTTCATTTAAAAAAAGACATGAAAAAAATCAACAAAAAACAATTTCATAATAACTGCATAACTGTAGCAATACAAAGTTAGCTTCATCAAAATCAAAGGAAGACACAAAAAGATTTATGAAATAATGGGTGGCCAAAACTTTTGTTAAAGATTCAATATGACCAGGAAAAGAAAAAATTCAAACAAAGAGAGATAGACAATTAAAAAAAAAAAAAGCGTGTACATGCACACATACTGATATATATTACAACTGAACAAAAACTCAAGCTCTTTTGACAGTCAGTAGTCAAAACAATTAACTAGAGCCAATATACTGGTGTAATCCAATCCATGCATTAAATCAGTAGATTGTGGCAATTACTAGGTGTTAAAATATAAAGTTCCATCCTACTGCTCAAAAAAAAATAATAATAATCAAACACTTGAAATAATTACAAACTAAATGAAGGTAATATAGAGAAAACATACTTCAGAGGTCTTGCAAGAACTCGTTGACCTAATGTGACAAAGCTTGTTTCTTGATTCGACATAAACCAAGCCAAGGAAGAAACACTGCAGCAGAAATAAATTATTGTATTAGATATTTAAGAAGTTCAAATTCATGTATAAACTTGAGCGTCCAGGAAAAAATAATATGATTATGCAACCTTCCAGTAAAAACATGCTCACGAACACCCAGGATAGTAGGTGGGCGTAACCCATGGTCTTCATTAAACTCTTCCAAAAGGTTACGCATTTTTAAAGCTTCCTCCAAATAATTATCCTACAAGAGAAATTGGAACAGTAAAAGCTGGTAATTGACCTAATAAATCCTAGTCTACTGGGTTTAACTCAAACTTGTATTTACCTGGTTCATGTCAATTGTTTGAAGTGCTTCTCCTCGAGTAAAAATAAGTGCGTGGTTTTGATTTTCAGGCTTCCCTTCTCCTATTATAGCTGACCCCGGCAATTTTATACGGTAAATTTCCTTGAGAGAGAAAAGGTGAAGCCAATTACAGTTAAAGACGTGCGAAATCAATGCAGTTATTCTTTGCAAGAATTAAGAAGGATAATTACCTGATCATGAGTATGAAGGGCTTTTACCAATACAGAATAGTATACCTTCTGTACTTTTCCACCTTCCCTCTCTTCAACTTCATCAATATATGCCACACGAAGAGATGGATTACTGAACAGATGGCTTTGTTAGAAAATCAAGAATTTCAAACAAATTGAATCCATAAAAAAAAAAATGAATCCAAACGTACTTAACCATCAAATTTAATATGTCTGTCGCACGGCGATCACCATTCCGCTTCTGAATCCCATAATTCTGACACGTAGCAACATAAGTGAATTTCATATCAGCGACAGCCTGCAATTGAGCATACAATGACCTCTGACTCTTATCTTCCTCTGATGATACTGTGACAGCTTTGTAGCCTTCGAGTATCTCTACTCACATAAAGAGACAGAAGGCAGGATATTAGCTCATTAAGGTAAGGTGTCCGATAATTGGTAGAAACTGCAGCACCTCCTGGTAATTCAGCCTCATAGCAGCAAATATTAGAACATATCAACATAAATGATGTAGTAACCTAAATGCCTTGTGACATGCTTCAACCCAAAAAAATAAATAAATAAATAAAATAAAAAAGACAAAAATAGAACAAAAACTTCAGGGTGTTTTAAACCAATTTCAATTTAAAATATTAATCCATTCATTATCATCGTCATTTTTGTTTTTATTTCACTTCATTAAACAGAGATTTCAAAGCAAAAGCAAATGTGAGAGAGTAATTAAAAAAAAATTATTTCAAATACTTGGGAGCATTAGCTAACCACTAAAAATCATAAACCACGTTATGTTATAAGGGAGCTCTGGCAGGCTACCATAATTAAATAATTAATGGCACTAAATGTGTGACATTACACATACCCAAGGGAGCACGACAGCTCACTACACTAGCCCTATACTTATATCATCGCCTGAAGCGTCACCATAATTGCATTTTCACAAGATAAAGGGACTAATGGAAGACATAATATCTTCCTATAGTTGAATTCTTTAAAGTCTTTGAACTCTAAATTTAATAGCTAAGTTATTGTTAAGAAACAGAGCAGTTTTTTTCTTACCACTTTCAGAAGCCATGTCAAGAAATGCCTGAAGCTTCAAAGCCCTTCGATAGTACATCATTCCTCTAACTGAAACAATGACATTTATCAAAAACAGAAGAAAGGAAAAAGGAATTTGATGGAAAAATTATTTCACTAGGAACCTGTTCTGCAGAGAGTTTGCCCTCTTAAGGAGACCCAATGGCGTAGTTGCAGTATGTTCTCTTCACTTTCCCTAGCCTCACTCTCATCTTTACAACCAATCCGTTCCAGGAAATTAGTCCACTCATCTAATAGACATCACAACATGATTGTCAATCAGTAACACAAATTTTTATTAAAAGGTATACAGTATATACCACATAATAAAACTTTCCAAATTATGTTCAAAGTATTTCAAACCTGGGTAGATCTTTTGAAGATAGAATATAATTGATATTCCATCTTCATTCACCATCTCGAGATCACTCTTTGAATAGACTGTTTCCTCATTGTAGTATGGAGTCAAGACACTACAAATCCCAAATAATGATTCTGATTCTGATAGCTGAAAAGTGACAAAATCTAGCTACAATACATACTTGGAAAGGTAATTTGTTTTCTTGAGAGATGGGATAATGGTATGATGTTTCCACAATTTACATTTTAAGGAGTTAAGTATATTACACAAGAGCAAATGCTTCCATTTAATGGTTTATAATTCTTGGCAGATCATAGGTGCCGTGTGGTGCTTCAACTTTAGACATTATAGATTTTGTATTGCGCTGGACATTGAATTATTGGGCTCAGATAGCTTTCAGTAAGCAGAAACTATGTCCATGTAGGGCTGTCAATGGGTTGGATATTAATCCAAATCTAATTTAAATTCAATTCAAAATTCAAATCTGATTAAAATATTTGATGGATTAGATTCGAAAACAAATATCCGTAATCCAAAATAAGTGGATCAGATATAAAATTAAGTAATCTGATCTATTAAGGATTTGAATTTGAATTTTAATAATATTCTTAATTAAATTAATAATTTTATATATATGGCATTAATAAATTTAAAGTTGTAGGGACTAAGTTGAGAAAATCAGAAAATTCAAGGATTAACATGATTAATGAAATAAAGTTGAAGGACTTAAATGCAAAAGAGGATTTTTTTTTTTTTTTTTTTTTGGTGAGATTGGATTTTCTTATTGATTTCGAATTATCTATTGGAATTGAATATAATTTGATAAACAGAAATCTTTTAGGATTTTGGATCGAATTTGGATATAATAGTAATTAATCAGATTTGGATTTGGATATACCTGATTTGAACCAAATCTAACCTGCTGACAATCTTATATCCATGGATGAAAAATCTTTATTTTCAAAGCTACTTTTTGTTCTTGATAACACAGGAAATGAAATCTAACGTGGAACTTACAAAATATGGATTTTTTCTTCGTCATCAGGATGCAACTCATCGTATAAGAAACAATTTTAGAGTAAAGGGCAGCCAATTGCATTAAGCTCCCACATGCAAAAGTTCAAGACTTAAAATTGTTTTTGAATTTTCTAAAACTTTGTCATTACAAAGAAAAATCTTAAAAAGCAAACATTTCATTTTTTTTCCCCTTTTGAAAACAGAGAAGGCCGAAAATTAAAATTGGATAGATAACAGAGGAAAAAAAAAAAACAAACAAACACACCCTTTTATGCAGCTTATTTCATTTATGAATGCATATAATATGCTGCAGAAAGCATTGGCTCAACCTGAACGAAAGCATTTTGCGTACTCGTGGAGGACGTGGCATATCCATGAACAAAGAATTAGCAAAGAACGATATCCTTCGACGTGCTTCAAGGTTGGTTGGCACATCAAGGGCAGATTCTTTTACTGTTAATAGCAAATAGAGGCGACTGATCTACAAAAACCAGAAACAAAAGACACATAATTTATTATTCAAATTCAATCCTTGTGCATTAGTGTTAATTTAATACCAGTTTATGCATGCATACCTGTTCTTCCCATTGCACTGTAGCTGGAGGAGGAAACATAATAGCTGGTTTCGAGTCAGTGCTAGCAAAAAGTTGTATTCCAGAATCCTTGCTGCTATTACCAAGTTCCACTTCACTGTAATATGAAGTATGCATAAACAATCACTAGATAACTACGGCGGCAACTAACTGGTTATTGTACCAGGCTATCTTTTTCAAATTTTTTCACAATGAACCTAATAAGAATTAGAAAAAAAAAAAAATTACCAACCGAATCTCATTCACCATCATGTCACGCGTAACTACTTCCAACATGTCTAACAACAACAACACCACAGCATCTTGCTTGGATGGATCGGCTTCTTTCTGCAATACAAATTAGCTCTAAGTTTCTGAAATGGAGAAATTACCTGTACAACAAGGCTCATTTACCAGATATAAGACTATTCCTCAAGAGAGCACTCACCAAGATTACTACAAGCTGCACAAATTTCTCACAAAAAGTTGGCAAGGGACCCATTCTAAAATTTGTGAGAAATGCATTATTATCTATGTTACTTTCGACTTCTTTGATGATGATGCCAATGATTCTGTCACACAAAAATGAAACTTGGTTTGCAATGATTACACCCAAAAAAAAAAAAAACAAACAACAACAACAATAACAACAACAACAAAAACAATTATAAGACATTACTTTCTCTGTAGTATAATGCTTCTTGAATGAGTTTAAGTGGTTCACCAACTCCAAAAATATTCTACGTAAACAAAACTGAACATTTCACAAAGTTTAACTGCAAATTATCTGATGGAACACTTTAGTCAAGTGATTAGACTATGAGATCCTTGTGAGGAAAAACATGAGAAAGATTTCAACAACAAAACTGGCATAGATATGGATGCCTAAAGGGTCCACAATTTCAGTTTTGGTAGATTTCACTTAGACTCCTAACATGAGCTTGAGCAGATAATTATACTAAGCAAATAAACAAAAATAAAATGATACAATCTTGACAGAGAGATAGCATATGCTTCAGCAACTAAATTCCTTAACAAATGAAAGTACCAAAAAGCAACCTTTTCTCAGTTTCTCCAACAACCAAAGCATTCAGGACATGTTTGAAAGATTCATAACATTCAATAACAGCACATTTCATGTATTCATCCGTGCATATACGCCTCCAAAGGTCAGAATCTTTTGAATGAAATTCTGCTGCCATGTCTAATGCAATTGGAATCTGCAAATATAGACAATTAAGTAGATGAACAGAAAGAAACATAAGAAAATTGGGGCAACTGCACAGACCTTGCCAGCAAGCAAAAACGGTGGCCACTGCATAACTTTTAGACTAGGATCTGACGAATAAGGAACTAGCAACAAATCCATCTCTCTGGAAAATTGAAAAAACCCAGCTTCAAGTTAGTTACATGAAGAAAATTCACAGACAGCCTGAAGAAAACAATTAATAAGTTATGAGGCTATTCCTGTCACTTATTAGATCTTCTTCACGGAAACTTGCTATTATTTCATTCCATAACTGTGCAAACTTTGCAGCTTCACTTCTTTTGTTTGCTGTAACCTACATATACAACAAAGAACGAAAACTAAAATAAAATAAAATTGTAATATATCTATCTTTAAATTAAGCACATTAGCATAAAGCAAACCTCAGCAAAATGTTTCGAAACAAAAGATCCCCTTTTCTTAGTCTTATCAGATGGCGCCAAATATGTGTTGAATGCGCCTGGTAGAGACTGAAACCGAGATCTTAGCATGCCTAGTGTCCGTATCTATAAGAAGAGAAATCAAAAATATACCACCAAACCAAATATTAATAACGCTACATTAAACATGAAAATTAAAAAGCAAAAGTAGGAAAAGATAATTCCACAGCACATTCTAGAAACGCAAAATATCCTTCTATTCAAGTGACAAGCTTATGAGGGTCTAAAATTTCAATTTCAGAAGCATAATCCATATTCATGAAATGATTTAGTAGGTAAAAATGAGCAATCTTCTCCTCCATTTTCTAATTTCCAAAGGCTATTCATTAATATCATGCTTTTTGTTCCACTTTTTTAGAAGTGGCATAAGAATACTTCTTTTTTTTTTCCTTCTTCTATGTGCAACATCATTCCTGGGGTATATGCATTTTAAAGGAATTGTCATGGTGGGGTTTCTTGATATGTCAGATTTTTTTTTTCCCTTTTCATTCTTTTGGTGGGTGAGGAGGGGTGTTTTTTCAGGTGAAAAGAAGTTAAGATAACAGCCTTGTTAATCTTATCTGAATAAATTTACTTATGGAAGTTAAAGCAACAGCAAATGAACATGAACACTTTTTTAGATGGTAGCCTTTACAATTAACAAAACACTACTTTGACAATTTACTGTCAAGAAAGAGATAGAGATTGGCGAACAACAAATATGACAGAGACTGGTGAACAATAACTTTGACAGAGTTAAAACAACATTTTAGTGAAGGGAATATAAGACCATGTTTCATTGTTGATTTGTGCCTCAAAACGAATGACCAAGGTTGCAAAGCACTAGCTACAGGAGTTTGATGATGCAAGCAACACCTACATATTGACTCCATGATTATTGAGTATGATTGTGATGGGCACAAAAATTCAAGGTAAGGATGAAGAGGTTGGTTGACATTAGAAATGGTCCATAAGGTAGCAATACAGGAATTTGAATTGGGTTCAGAGACCAAAACATTGACAAACTAGAGAGAGACAACAAAAGAGAGTAAATAGAACCAAACAAGAGAGGCATAGAAACAAATGTAAAGCTTTGTCCAGGAAAAGAGACCCTGGAGATATTTCAGTGTAGCTCAATATTATACAGGTCAACTGAGCTGGATTGTTCCAGAACATCAATCTCATGTTAAGCACTCCCGAATTCTAATAAAAAAGAGTAGTAAAAAAAATCCCCTCTTAAGCAAACTATATTTCATAAATTTCTGAATTGAGGACTGAACTTTCATAAATGAAATGTTCTTAATATTTCCTCCTCCACAAAACTCCATCACAAGAACATAGAACATAACAAAAGAGAAAAAAAAAATGTGGAAAATTCTCCTTCATTGAAATAAGGCAGTGGATTAACATATGACATGAAACTATACAAAATTAAGCAACAACCTCACAAATGCTATAAATGAAAATATAAGAAATATGTTTGAAGTAGTTACCTCTCCTAGGCGATCAAAGGCCCCACTAAGACCACCACTTACAGTTGAGAAAATAGCATACCAAATTTGAGTATCCATTAAATATATCTGCCAAAACTTGTAAAATTATGTAAGAAACTTGCAAAGTTGCACATGAACGTGTAAAACAAATATTAAGAATGCTGACAGAAGAAATCATGTATATTACATGAACTAAAAAAGAAATGGAACACAAAAACAAACCAAAACAATAGGTGCCCAGAGTGAGATAATTGCTGCATAGTTCCTTCGATCTGTAGTAATTCAAGACAAATGGAACAAAAAAACAAACCAAGATAATAGGTGCCCAGAGTGAGATAATTGCTCCATAGTTCTTTCAAGAAGGGAAAGAAGGCAAGCACCAGAGTAGACAAATACCTTCAGGAAAAAATTCATGCCAAGTGTACTCAACACGACGAATGGACATTATTGCTTTTGTTGGCTTGATAAGAGGTTTTATCTGGGAATAAATAGATAAAATAGTCAATACAGGACCTACCTACTCTACATATCCATATATATAGATGACTAATGTCAAAAAGCACCTGTACTAAGTAGCTGACTGCCAATTTGGAGATAAGAAGTGCTATCCAGAAAAAGGTATACCTAAATTGATGAACATTGGCAGTGAAGCTAATCTCAAGCAAAAGAGAAAAAGAATAATATTTCTAGCATTTAGCCAATCATAGAAAATCATAATTTGCTTTTCCTTGTCAAACTCACTTCATAAGTGTGAACTGACTTTCATGCATTCCCCTCCCAATGTAAATTCTAGGCTGCACAAATTAAAGTTCACTCAATTGATTAACCTTTTGTTTATATTATGAGAAGAATAAGTTAAAGAGACCAAGAGCAATATATAGTTAACACAGACCAGAAGAGCATTTTTTTTAAACAGTAAACAACAATAAGAAAGATGAATGCTGAATTGTTCCAAAAAGAATTATTAAGAATATTATTTTTTTAAAAAAAAAGAAGTCATCCCCAAGGCCACAAGGTTCCCCATTTGCGAGGATTGGGAAGAGTCGTTGAGCGTGCTTCACTGATCAATGGAATCTTTTTTACATTTCATATGTAGCCGTACCTCAACCTTACCATTGATCCAAGGCTCATACTCAGTCACTATGATAGAGGAAGGATGAAAAAATCTGAATAATAGCTCAGTGAATGAAAGTTACTTCAAACAATTGAAAATAATAATGCAAAGACCAATCAAGCATCTAAAGCAATCACTAAGTACTTATATTTCTGCATGTCATCCAATCCTTGCACTTAACCATTCTCATCAAGCATAGTAAGCATATCACAGATCAGGGCATCGGATTTAGGCAACAAACAAAAATCTTTTTGGAACATTTTCCATTATTACATTCTGAAATTTCTAGTCATAAAAAAATATTTGACAAAGAATAAGTTATTTTATAGAAAAACACGTTAAGATATGAACAAGAAAAATTGACTCCCACTTTAGGAGACAGAATACATGGTTACAATCTTACAACATCTATTAACATTTCCTTTGGTAAAATGCATGAAAAAATTAAGCAGAAAGGGATGTGACAACAGTACCTGTGACCACCACAGTAGAAACCTTACGATATGCCAATCCGAGTTCTCAATCCAACGTCGAAGCATTGGGAAAATAAATAAAACTGCTGCCAATAAATTTGGAAGCAAATATATAGCCACAGCAATGCTGTACGCGGCAGGAATGGCCTTGACATTATTAACGAAAGCCAACCAATCTTTAAATTGGTTATGATGTGGTTGTGACTGCAGATAAAAGATCATAAGAATGACACACCATGCCAAACTAACAATTATCTTCAGAATGTTTCTCATCACAGCGATGCACTGCCACCTATGTTTACCCGGGAAATTCAAAATAAGGTCCAACATACCTGACATTAAAAGTGAGTTAAAAAAGAAAAAGAAGGATCTCAGCAAGAACTATATTTGAATACCCAAACCATACTGAATTTATTAAGAACAGGTGACAACAATCATTCAGAATATTAAAAACCATCAGAATTATATACATGTAAGTGCACAACTAAATAATGCCTCGTGATTTTGGAAGGAAGGCTTTAGTCTAGAACCACACAAAGAGAAATATGAGCAGAAGACTTTCCTTGTATTACTAGCAGCCTGGGAAAAGCATAGTCAATTTAATTATGCACAACATTGTTATTTATGTATATGTATATAAATTCACTATCAGCAATGTCCCTATCTAGCCGAAAGGATGTCTAAATATTGGAAAAAAATCTCAAGATATGTCCATACATCTTATTACTAACATTGGTTATCAAGGTCTCACATTGTGTATTTGGACTATTTACAGATGCTAGAATTTCAATGTAACAGTCCCTTCAAACATTCTGGCATGAATTCCACTTGTCTGTGTATCTTTTGTAAATTACAAATTTAGAATTCTTCAATCTTCACACAGATCCAAAAAATTTCTATTCTTTCTGTTGTCTTTTGTACTTTCAACCATCCCTTCATCATTGAGATATTTTTCTGCCTCTATATTGAAAGAAATTTAGTGTGTCACTTCCTGGTCAAAGAAAAACCTAATATTGCAAGTAGATGCTTTATATTGCATATGTTTCTAGTTTCAGGTATTTGACTCTGGAGGCAAGTGCAGATTCTTTGCCATCAAAAGCCAGTAGGAATCAGATATTCAGCAATTCAAATAACATGATGCTATCAACAAGGGTCAAATGCATGGGCAAACTGAACTGTTTGCAACTTTGCTATATATGGAATGACTATTCATTTAATAAACAAAATTGACCCTTCCCAAAGAAATTTCATTATGACTCCACAACCAAACAAATTGAATACAACAAGCACATCCGAACAATCAAATATATAAGGGATGAGTATGATAAACTTGATCACAAACTTCTGAAACAATAATTGTACTCATAACACTTCAAAAAGTCTTTATAACTAAAATATCATCTTCAGAATTCGACCTCATTATTATGGGATATCCGTTAGGCAAAAATGTTGTAAATAAATTTTATAATCTATTCCCATTTAAGAAATTCAGCAGTGCGCACTGGGCACAAACTCAATGTAGGTCCCCTAGTCTAACCTAAATCCTTCCAAAATGATTTTTGGCATCAACCTTTTGTGGTAATGGTGGCTATAAACTTGGGGCTCATAACAGAAAAAAAGATTGTCCAAGGAAATAATTGGGAGCCAAGAATCAGGATAATAGCTGCAAGGTACTAACTTCTCCTGGCTGCATATCAGTGGAAGTGAATAAGAGGTTATCGCTCAAGGTTTCTTCTCTATATTAGTAAGCTAGTGGCTTCTTGCTAACACGAAAACATTTCATGGCTTAGAGTGGCATGAAAAATTCCCATAACATGTACCAACGGTTATGCTTTAATTAGACCACAACATATCAAATATAAAAATTCCTTACTTTGGAGTAAGCGAAGAAAGGCTGCTGTAATAAAAATACTGGAAAGGTCACGTAAGACATCCTTCTGAATAATATGTGACAGAGAAACTTCTTTCCATGAAAAGATAAACATAGCCTGCAATACAACAGATAAATAATTCATTTCTAACACAAGCAAAGACAATGTCAAGCCACTAATTTGTGTGATAGCTACTGTTCAATTGTTAACTACCTTCTCATCTAAAAACTTAAGCTTGTAGAGGGAGGAGTAACTTAATTATATATTACTTAACATGCCCTTTCATGTGAGGCCAAAATTTATGATCACAACATGGGCAATATGTGAAAACTTTAAATTTACAGACGGTAAGACTTGAACCCAGCATCTTTGCCTACTCTAATAGCATGTTCAATTGTTAACTAGCATCTCATCTAAATGCTAAAGCTTGTAGAGGGAGGAGTAATTTAATTATATATTACTTAACAGCTACGAACCTGAAAAGAAAGTATGTAGAATGTCCATAGACGATCAAAACTTCTAAAGATATTCCAAAATGATCGTGTCTCAACAAAATATGATTTTCCCATGCTTCCATTCTTTTTCTGACCCGCTTGTTTTCCCTGGCAACAATCCCAGCCAATTTAAGCACAAAATGAAACAAAAAGCCATAAGATCTGTTTAGATAGAAGAGTAGATGCATCACCTCATGAATCGATTTGAAGAATAAACTGTCATTAAACATAGGCCAACCCAATGAGAAGCAGTCATTGGACCTGAGAAATGTCAATCAAGTATAAATATAAGCAAAGCTGCTAGGATTTTTCATGATCAACATAAAAAGCTCTAGTTTAACCAACCAGAAATACTCATTCAGATCATCATAATTGCACCAAGATGAATGAGGTGCTTTTCCACCTTGACTCTTCTTGGCTTCCTGGATTATTGCAAGCACTTTTATGTTACATATACAAGGTAAAGACCAAAAGCCTTGTACAGTGGGCATGACTTGAGAAACCACACCTTTTCAATTACTTGGTAAATGGGTGTTATAACTTTCCGGAGGAAAGACTCGTCCCCTCCTCCACTAGAAGGTTTAATTTTTTCTCCGTTGACAACGTTAACATTTCCAGCCAGAACACAATTAAGCTCAAATGCCATCTGATCAAGACATGAAACATGTCAATACAAAACAATAATTCAGCGAAGCAAATAACTAAGGACAGGATGAAGGTGGAGATTACAATGATCAATGAACTAGTACTCACATTATGGAATATGTAACATAGGCACTCTGGCATAAAGCGTAAATTAGCTGCTTCACCCCAAATAAGATGATAGAGTCCCATGTAAAGTATCTTTCTCTGTTGCACTTCTTCTTGCCCTTGGGGAAACCTATGATAATGGATTAGTTGTAATAGGATGATGGACTTGGCAACATGCATAAGAAGCTTGAGAAAAATGAAACCATTGGTGCATTCGAAGCGAATGCAGATACAGCTTTGACTCACCTTAAATTATGTTTTTGGCCCAAGAATTTGCACCAATTTCTATAGTTTTTAAAGAGCTTGTTCATGATAGCATTAGCAGCTCGATCATCAAGCTGGAAAGAGAAGTGAGTAGTTTAATCAGCGGCATATATTGGAGAAATACCTTTTCGACTGTGTTAATGTCAGTTCCAGTTCATCCTAGCATGATAACCACTCAGATACGAGGTGACAATCAGAAAATTGCATCGGATAAAATATGGAAGTGCAATAATGATGATTATTGTGATGCAGTCCATTAAGTAATCACTTAGAAAAAAGAGCAGCTCTAAAGAAACATGAGCAAATAAAAAAGAACTCAGGTTAAGTGTAACTTGTAGGAAAACATGATCATAGTCTAAATGCTGCCAAATAATGGGATGCTCGTCTTAGAATGTCAGATAATTTGTAATTTGAAATTGTATCAAATTTAAAAACTTCTCCTCGGAAAGAATGATTAGCACGTGCCTTGTTCAGAGGCTCGGGCCTGGGATGAAGCCTTATATGAGTATTGGCCAGAAGTAGGATCAGATTCTCCCTTTGGTTCCTGACGTTGTCTTTCTGTAGACATCAGATTTAAATAAAGGTATGACAATTAATACCGTGAATGAAAGCAATCCACACCTTGCTGTCCAGATTAATGAAGCAGTTACCTGAAAACCAAACAATGCCTTAAGCCAGTCAAGAATGTCCACGTCCGACAAATTTTGACTCTGCTTGTCAATTGAAGATGGCCAGTGGAGACCACGCGTGTTCCGTAATGCAGATACGACAGCCTTAATCTGGCAAAAACAAAATAAACAAAGGGAGAGAGAAGTTATTTGCACGTTTTTGTAAGGAAAAGTGCCTGCTTTTTACCGTTCGCCAGAGAGGATTTCTATAAATTCCCCGCCCCAGGTGGTTTTGGGAGAGATTCCCAAATCCCAGAAGCTGCCCGAAATTGTCCGTCTGAATGACTTCTTATCTGAATGGTCTCTTAGAAAAACGACTTAATGGTGACGTAAACACCCAAAACGTCGGCTCGAAGGACCACTTCATAACTATATAGTTTCTTATAACTTAATGTTGAGGCATAGACCTAAAGAGTCATCATTGAAAGACCACTTAAAAAGTGAAATTATTTGTCCGGCAGACAACTTCAAGTCTTTACCAAACCCTCCAGATTCAATTAATTTTTCAAACCACTTCGACAGAGTTGAATGAAGGATAAAGATTGAACACTGCACCGGACAATCAGCCGAAGCTGCAGAATGGGGGAAAGATTTTAAAGCCAAGACGTGAAATCAATTAAATGGGCAGGCCTTTCAAAAAGATTCGAACGCCAAAACCCATCTCCTTTACATAAGCTATCGGTGTCCAGTTGATGATTATCTCTCACCTCCGTCCCCTTATGGGTTCAGGTCTCTCTTCCTTCCTCCCTCCCTGTGCCCGCGTTTGGGGGTCTCTCTCCCTCTTTGCAATTTTTTATGTGAATGCTTTCTGCGATTGCTTGATTTGGCTATTATTGGAGGTACATGCTCTTATTTTGGTGGTTTATTTGCAATCATTTTACCCAATTCTAGAATAGCTCATATCAATATCGCTTACAACACATGCCTTGCAATAAAAAGCAAAAACAGCACCATTCAAATGGATGGTACGAAGATCCCAATGGGCAAAACTGCTGTAAGAAGTGGCGTGATTTCGTGAATGCTTTTGATGCACGTCGGTCACATCACCATGGGTCCAGGGAAGAACACCCTTCAAGGGGTGAAAGCAGTGGAAACAACGGACAAAGTAAATTAAGGTGGCAAAAACTGCTTAACGCAAGGTGTGAACTAAAGATGTGTTATTGTTTCTACTGAACGTCAGTGCCGAGAGCGTGTTAGGCTGATATGTTCCAAGGCTAAGTCCCCAGATAACGATGAAGTGATAAATTTGATGGAGCGCGAAAACTTGCAAATTCAGCGCCTTTTGGATCGTTACCGTGCAATTATTTAAGTACAATCACAACCACGACATGATTATGAACTTGTTCAGAATGACTACTTAACTAAAGTTGTCATCCTAATGCACAACTTCAAAGATGGGACTAAGGACGATTTGGTATTATGTTAATCGTATATGGTCGTCAATTGAAACCACAACTTACATTAGGTTGCCACTGTAAATGGCAACTTACCCAACGCTGTCATCCCCAGATACTACTTGAGATAGGCAAATCTGAAGTTCTGGCCCGAAGTAACGATTTATAACTGTAGCTCGGGGACATTAATCATGAAAATCGGGTTGTCTATCGACAACGTGAGCATGAAGTTGCCATTGCCAAAGGCAACTTAAAGTTGTCAGTAAGAAAGACAACTGATGAAAGCGAAGTGGGTTTGGAAATTCTGAGAGAAAGAAAGTGTGTCGGGGGGATATCCATATAAAATGGCAGTGGCCAGTAAAAACTCAGAGTACGAAGCTACATATGAACAGAAACAAACAATTAAGGTTTGTCAGTTGTGGTTACATCATCAAGTGTACATAATATACCTCTTCAAGCTGCATAATGGCCTGTGATTTCCCAGCAGAATCCAGGGGAAGAATGTTGTAAGGAGCATAAATTTCCTTCTTTGCCTGGACATCTTTGGCCGCTGCAATTATCTAATTGAACAAAAATCAAAATAAAATGAAATAAATTGATGTTGCTAAAGTCTATGTTCTTGTGCGAAATGAGTTAAAATAGTTGCTCCTCATGAATATGAAGTAACAGAGTAGTTATATTCCTAAGACCCATAAATAAAGGGAGGGAGAGAGGGAGAGTAAATTAGCTAATTACATCAGGAGCTACTTCTTCAACTTTTTCGTTCTTGTTAACAGCCCGGAGGACTTTGAACAGAACTTCGGCAGTCTGGTAAGCCTTGCTAATTTGCGCTCTGGTGAAGAAGGAAACAACTCCACAATTTTATTAGGTTTAGACGATGAATAAGGATAAAATGAAATGAATCAGTTGGTGATTTAGTCATTCACAGAACTTGAACCAAACTTAAACTTCGTAAAATTCAGCAAGTTCTTTTCAAAAATTTGCTGGAGAAGAAATTCTGTAAATTGATTAAACGAACTAAAGTTAAAGTGAGAACGAGTACCTGTCGACTTGGTCTCCCTTGTCTAATGCTCTGACATAATTGTCATAGTATTGCTGGTAGAAGCTCTGGATTTCTCTTGCATCTGTCTTCTTAATTCGAGCCGCCAGACTTGGCGCATTGTCCTGATCAAACGGAAGGGGGTGGGAGTGGGATTGGATCGCAATTCTTAAAAAATTACAACTTTTGATTTTATTCTAAACTGTATTGGATTCATTTGCATTACAAGAGTTGATTGATTTGAACATGGGTATTTCGCGGAGTTTGATTAAAGTTTGTGAAAGGGTTAAAAGTAAAAATCTTTTTGGAGCGTATACAAAAATACATTCTTTTCTTTAGTAAAGTTAAGTTTTCTCTGCACTAACAAAATTCTGTCAGTGCATTTTTCATGATCACTTGTGAATGCTAAACTCATATCCTCTATTAATTTAATTAGCATGGCTAAAGGTTTTCTTTAATCTTAAGATGCTTGCAATGAAAGTAATTAAATTAATTAAAAATTAAAAAAAATTAATTAAAATCCTCAAAGTAGAGGAACATTACTTACCCGCTCTAGTCGTTGGAGAAGACCAGTTTTAAATTGACGCACACCACGACCACTAGAGCTGGGATCCAGCCTGTGCGCTTTCTCGAAGGCATAGAACCGACCTTATACGACAATAAAAATTAATTAACTAGTTAAACCTAAAGAATGCAAAAGAACAAGGACTTAGGAGTAAATATAAAATGAAACAGGACCGTGGTACCTACAAAGATAAGCGACTCGCGGACGGTCGTTCTGGATTTCGGAGGCGACCCGGAGGATAGCGTCGATAGAGGCAAGAGAAGAGGGCACCACCTCCTTATCAAAGACCTCTGCGGACAAGGTGAAGTTGGTGGTGGCCGCAGTCCGGGATGACCTCCTCGTCAGCGTCGCCTGCCGTTGAACGGCTTGTGTATCCTCGCCTGACATTGCTCCTCTCTCCCACCACCTCAAGCGCTGCCTTTCCCTATGTATCTCTCTCTGTTCTTCAAACACCTATACGTGCATGTGCCTGTATGTATACACATACTTACACATTACATATGTATGCATGCATGGGTATACGTACACCCCCCTAAACATACTTTGATGCAAAATATATGAAGAAATAATCTGTTTGGAAAAACAAACATACTTTTAGATAATGCTTATGGACTGCACAAGCTTTGAGCCTCCGCCTGTCATAATTCACAACGGATGATATATCTAGACATTACATATAAATATGATATATATAAATCGAAATAAATATTCAAGTATACATGATAGGATGAAGAATATTGAAGAACTTATGAAGGCATTATGAGTAGGGTCAGCATGCATGAGGAGGTGAGGGGGAGGAAGGAAAGATGAGAATAAATGGAGAAATGTGGATGGAGTGAAGGAAGGAGGATGTGGTGGGGCAGGGTGCTAGTGTAACAAAATAAGACGAGCAAGAGGAGGGACGACAAACACGATTTCTTGCTCACTTCTCACCACAACAACTTCCGCTATTTTCTCTTTAGCTCTCTCTCTCTCTCTCTCTCTCTCGCTCCATTGTCTATGGACTTAGAGATTAATTTCCACCCAAACCAAAAATAAGTAAATAGATTACTCTTCATATATTGTCTACCCTGGTTGAATAAAAAATTGGAGTACTTCCTCCATATCTTTATGTTGCAACAAAAATGTAATTTTTATCATTTAAGATTTTTCAACCATTTTTAGTTTGCAATATTTATTCAACATATGGGGACTAGGAAAAATACAAAGTAAATGAAACCTAATTGATCCAATTATTTCATTACTTTTCAGTGTTCATGGTTTGGGTGGAAATAAATTAGATTAAGTCAAGTCCAAAATTTAAAAAAACTAAACCCAACGGGCTAAAAAATTAGTCTTAACTAAGGTTCTTTTTTTTTTTTTAAGGGGTAAAACTTAGCTTGACTTATTAGCCTATTAAATTAGACCTATTTAATTTATAAAAATATATATTATAAATATCATATAAATATATAATTTATATTATATAAATTATATTAAATATATATCTATTTTATATATAATTAATTATATAAATCAGTCTATGAGACTCATAAACTAGACAAAATATAATCAGACAAAATTTATTTAAACAAAAATACTAATTTCTTAGCTTAGATTTGACCTAATGAGATAAATAAGTTAAATCAAGTCAAGTTATATCATATGAGACCACACGTGACTCACGAATAACCTGGATTATTTCCATTCCTTGACTTGGTAATCATAGATATAGATTATTCTCTTTCTTCATAATTTGAATTTCTCTTCTTTGCTAGTGTTTCATATGGGTATATTTTTTATAGTTAATCTCCTATTTATAGATATATAAAGTAACAGTTAAATGACAATTATTAGCTGGATATTATACTTGTTATTGGATAATTAATTCAACCCTCATAATGACTGTGTTAGCACATACTAACAAATAAATCATGTGACTAGTATAATAAATAGAAAATCTACTCTTTTGTAACTGTTAGATATATAAAACAAATCTAGTAAAAAACAGATATGCAATATATTAGATTTATTTTATCACATTAAATTTTTCTCAATCTTTCGTATAATCATTTTGTATTCACAATTATGCTTTGTTAATCCCAAACAAGTTTGAAAACCAAAGCTTTAAATAATTTTGAATTTATTTGTAATTATCCTTAAAATAAGATTTATCTTATTAATTAGTAATTATTTTATCTATTAGAAATTATCTCACAAGAGATTTAGTAGAGATTATTCTCTATAAATAGGACCACTTATAATCAAGATTTGGTGTGGTATTGAGTTTATTTATTCCATCAGTGGTATGAAAACCAATTCTTTAGAATATGTCTACGGTTACAAGTTACAACCTAAGTGAAGCAATTAAAAGATCTGAGAGTTAGAAGTTCAAGCCCTTTCCATAGGAAGGACCTAGGTGGAACAATCAAAAGTTCCATACTCTTGAACTTGAATAGTTTAGGAATTGGAGTGTAAAAGGTTAGAGAGTTGAAGGGCAATTTACTGAAGTAGAAGAATTGAGGGACCAAAGAGTAAATACTGCACTTTGGCCATCTTCCTCCTAAAGAAACCCTAGTTGCCACGTGCTTCCATCGTTGAGAGCCCTAGGCTGTCATTCCCACCTGAAATTGTAGATCTACAGACTACAACATCAAGCATTGATCTGAAGACTTGCCAATTTGTAGAAAGTGAAGTCAATTATGGCCCATCCAAATCCCGATCGAAGAACAACTGACTTATTTGAGGCTCGACTAGAAACAACAATTTCTTTCTAGTTGTCTCTCTCCTCTAATCAACAATACTGCCACAAGTATCGCAACTCTACCAAAAGCTAGTTTGCTATCAATCAAGAAGAAGAAGTTTAGATCGTTGATCGAGAAGAAGCTCCAAACCTAACTATCCAAACACAAACAAGAGGGCAATCCAAACCTGACTAGATTGATTCAATTTGACCTGCGCTAATCCAAGAAACCTAATCTTGCTAATCTTGGTTGGACAAAACTTCTAAATAGAACCTAACCAAACTAGCTATCCTAAAGTGGTCTAACTAAATAGCTAAATCAAATTGGCCAAAATTGAATTGGCAAAACTAAACCAGCTCATCTAAAACACGCAAAATTGAATTGGATCAACCAAAAACACCCCTAAAGAAAGATTCAAAAGGCTTCCAATGGCATTCGATAACTTTGTACAACTTTCCATTCCTCAATTTGATGGCCATTATGACTATTGAAGCATGTTGATGGAGAATTTCTTAAGATCAAAGGGATACTGGCAAGTGGTTGGTGAAGGTATTGCAAAACCTTCAATTAAAATCGAAAGAGGGGTCGAACCATCAACTCCAACATTGTCAATAACTGTCTAGAAAGCAAAATTAGAAAGTTTAAAGTTGAAAGAACTAAAAGCTAAAAATTGTTTCTTCCAAGCAATAGACCAGACAATCTTGGAGACCATTCTTAATAAGGAGACCTCAAAGGACATTAAGGACTCCATAAAAAGATAGATCAAGGCTCGTCAAGGGTGAAACATGCACAAATTCAAGCCTTAAGATGAGACTTTAAGACTCTCGAGATGATAGACGATGAATTCATTACAAGCTATTTTTTCCATACCATGGAGATCATCAACAAGATATGGTTTCAAGGGAAAAAGATGGATGATGTCACCATTGTTGAAAAGATTCTATGCTCCCCAACACTAAGGTATGATTTTTTTTTTCTATTCCATTGAAAAATCTAAGGATCTCAATGTACTTTCAATTGATGAACTCTAAAGCCCCTTATTAGTACACAACCAAAAATTGTACCATAGTTCAACTAAGAAGGAACAAGCCCCCAAGGCCTATACTTCTACTTAATCTTTGAACTCTAGAGGAAGAGATCAAGAAAGAGGAAGAGGTAGAGGTAAATGGATAGAAAGATAGGGTTCCAAAGATGGACATAAAACAGTAGCAGCAGCATTCTAAGACCAATGATAACCAAGGTAAAAGTAAATAACAGAATAACAAATCTAAGATTGAATGCTACAGATGCCACAAATTTGTACACTATAGTTACAAGTCTTATACCAAATTGTCCAACAACCAAGAAAGAGAAGAGAAAACAAACTTTGCAAGGAGCAACAATAGAATAATGTTGGGACTATTCTGATGGCCACCCACTTTGTAAATCCATCCAAGATAGATATTTGGTATGTGGATATAGGATACATGTAATGACCCTAATTAGAATATTAGGGAAATATTGAATTAATTTGGGGGTTAAATGCCTAATTGTAGTAATTAAAAATTTTGAGGGTCAAATTGAAATTTGGGAGGGGCTTAATTGCAGTAATTTTAAGTTTAGGGCTTAAATCAAAGTTTCGATGGTCATATTGAAGAGATTAAAAGAAGCAAGGACTAAATTAGAAATGCTCCGAGACGAAATTAAAAAGAATAAAAGTTCTATGGGTTGGATTGAGACTAGGTCTTACAAATTCATCCTAATAGTCAACCAAATTGTCCAAGCAATATCTCGCGTGATTTCAGGGTACGACTTGACTAGATTTTGGCAAGTTTGTGTGCAACATAGAGAGGCGAACCAAACCCCTTTGACAATTTCAAAATTAAGTGAGGTTCGTGTGAGATCGAGTAGGTTTTTGGGTTGGCCAAGTTGTGTGCGGCCAAATTGAAACTTCTAAAGATTTGAACTATCTAAGTTGGTTTTAAACCGATTAAAAGCCCCTTAAGGGTAGCTTGATTCATCCCTACAAGTTTAAACACTCGATTGCTTCAAGTACGCACTCAAATAAGTGTTTTTTTAAGTTCTATGCTTCGGGTCGTGTTGCAGACCTAGAAGTGGTTTCGAGTTGTTCTTTCGAGTGAGGAAGAAAGGACCCGAACAGATCCAGGTCTTGTGTTGGATTGGTCTAGGCCATTAGGCCTAGACTCGGCCTAGTTGGGTCACGGGCCCATAGGCCTAGGTCGTGGGCTGGCCTAGAAAAGGTGATGAGTCAACTTAGCCTAGTGATGAAAATTCTAGAGTTAACCCAGTGGGGTTGACTTAGTTTGGATTCGAGATAGGCTATCCCAATAGCTAATCAAACACAAGAACAGGATTAGGGGAATTAGATAATCCTAGATTAAATAATTTAATTTAACTAGGGTCTTAGTTCAAGGCAATTTTGGTTCAAGGGCTAATTCATCAATTTTTAGGCTAGTTCTTTGGAGTGTTAGACCAATTTTGGGTAGGTAAGGTCAGTCCACATCTCGAGGTAGTTTGAGTTATCAGAAAACCAGCCGGTTCAGTAGGGAAATTAGGCCAGTTCAGTGCATAAGTTTATAAATTAAGATTTTTGGCCTGGTTCAGGGGTTTTCTAGCCAATTTTGACCGGTTTCTAAGAATTTTGGGGCCTTCTAAATCCGATTT